ACAAACCCGGAAACCCTCTATAGGTTTCCAAGAGTACCTTTTTTTTTAGAGTGTATATTGATGGTGTTATGGAAAGAAATATATACAGTCAAATATAGGAAAACACATTGGAAAAATATGGCACCAATAATGCAATATTAAAGAATATTTTCATTTTTTCGAATAAGTTGTTTTCAGAGATCGAATCGAATCGTATTTTGCTAGATGAATTTCGACTCTGTTCTAATAGCATTAGTTCCTTTCTAGCAAAAGGTAGACGATAGAAGGTGTAACATGAGAATTGGTATTTGTATGAATTAACATATTTGTGGATTTGAATTAAATTTTTAACATTAATGCGTCAATATCAACAATTTTTTTAGAGCTTTTATTCTTTGCATACTACTACGGACAATTATACGTTGCAGTACAGAAAATTGATATAAAATTTAAGATAGATTAAGACAAAAGAATTATACCGCATAGAAGAGACTCATTGTCATGAAAACAATTTTTGTAACTACTATGAAGAGAAAACAAACGTTTGCCACACGATGATTAAATTTAGAACTAAAAACATACTACTACAGCTCATCTCATCTTTGTCAATGCCATCATATTTTTACAAAATCGATGATAGTTCAATTCGGCTCGGCTGGGTTCGTATTTTCGTCTCTGGATGCAAGCTTTCGGAGAAACATTCTTTAACGGGATAGGTTTTTCTATGAAAAGACGCAGTTGATCTTCGATATCTAGATAAAACGAACCGGTCTCGATTTCAATACTATGAGAGTAGTTGCGGATATCAAAAAAGACAATGCATGATTTTGTATACGTCCATTAACCACCACCATAGGATGTTGATATCGGTGAATGAGAAACCACCCTGACACACATTTTAGTGTGAAATGAGGAGACAGATGGGTGTGGGGTGTACGTGTGCGTGTATGATTGATAACACACCCACCCCCCACACACACCCGCATTCATTGACCAACTAAAATGATTCTACGAATCTTATATAGTAGACACTGTCAATTCTTGTTTCTTCGAATTTTGCATACTAGGAATAATAAAGTTGAGATAGCAAGTGATTATCTGTCGAGAAATACTCAAAACAATTCATATTTCTGCTTACCTTTATGAGGCGTTGTACTTCTTAATGTTGGATATTCCGATGAATCGTAAGGATCAGGACTCAATCTATTCAATTCTCATCTTCATATATGCGACCTTCATTTGTTCTATGAAGTGATAGCTGATGTTATCTTCCTGGATTTAGATTTCGGTTCGTCAATCCAACACTGGTATTGGCCGTCTACATCGTACTCATTCGATATGTAGCACTCAATGACATAGGGATGGGAAATTCAAAAAGGCAAACAAGAAAATAGTAAATGATTCTATTTGTTGTACGCTTAGAAGACTTCCATTTCCTTTTGTTTTGCTCACAGATGAAATACGATGATAATTTACATATTCTAGTTTCATCATTTGTAACTATCTGTACATTTATACACTAATTGTTGAATACTAATAACTCTGATCAGTTCATATTCTAATCAGGTAAATAAATATTTCTATAATAAAATTGAATCAATTTTTTCTTTCTCGCTTTATTAAGAACAACGAGAAAGACACAATGCTTCAAACATATAATCATCGATCAATGAAGCGTTCTTTCATCAAGTAATTTTATGCTTTAGAAGTATTTATTTTTACTTTGTTTTGTTTTTTTCGAAAAAAAAGTAATCAAAGAATCATTCTAAAAATCGAATTAATGTCCACAGACAATAAAAATGATGTAAAAATTTAATAAAAGTTGCCATGAAATGATAAAGGAATATGTATGGGAAGATGAGCACGAGCAAGTTCTTTAAATGTAATGCCATCAAGTACAAGTAAAAATGATTTCTTAGCTTGTTGATCTAAAACTATCGATAAAACAACTCCATCATCTTCTTGATCATGATTAGCATCAGGTCTTGGAACAAAAATAGGTTCACTGGGTGATTTACATGCTTCTTCCCATAAACCTACTTGTTCTTTTGATTGAACATCTAACTTAATTAATGCATCGAACAATCGACCAGGTGGTGCACGTATAGCATATACATATCGATATGATTTACCAATAAATTTTGGATTAATACGTGGCAATTCAAATTGAATTGGAACAAGACTATTTGCATAACTATAGCAATGAATTCCTTTTGGTTCACGTGCATTCGCATTTGGTTCAATACATGTATTTGTATCTAGGTCTAATTCAAATCTTCGAAAATAACCGGTACCTGAAGGAAATATATTTTCACGTAATTTATCCAGAAATAGTTCATTAATAAGTCTTGAATCATCAAAAGCACAAATATCAACAATAATTTTCTTTTTATTATCTTTAACTTGATAAGAATTAATATGATGAAATGTAAAAAATGCTGGACCAGGTATATGTGCTATTTGTTCACCTGTATCTAAACTAATAACACGAAAATAAGTTGGCATTGTTTCACCATTCCATTTAAACATATCAGTTACTGCCCTGCCACTAATTAAATTCCAAATAGCATAAAATTTATTAAAATGTAATGGAACTTCTGTAAGAATCAAATAATCTTCGCTAATTGATGCCGAATGCATATAACTTGCATATTCTAATGGAAAACGATATAGTTTTGTACTTGATCTTATTCGACGATTATAAGCTTTTGCACGTTCACTTATATTATCTATTATATAAATAAAACGATCATTACCAGTTAACCATTTATCTTCATTGTCATCTTCTATTCAAAAAAGAAATATTTCAATTAATAGGCACATCGAAAATTTTTAGAGAAAATGTTTGTTTATTTTTAGTTCGTTTGAAAGTATTTTAGGATTGTCAAATATTATGAGTTCGAACGAAAATTTTGTACTCTTTGCGAATATGGGCTCTGAAATTTTTATCTATTATTGCATAAGAGTAGTGCGAGGATCTTCGCATGTTCTGAAAAATTACTTTGTGTGGAACACAAACACACATTTTCTGTATCTGTAAGTTCGTTTGTAAAGTTTTAAAAACGATTGAATTTACTAATTTTGTTTAGAACCTACTTTCTACATAAGATGCGGTTTGATCAAAAAGTTGATTTTTCAACAGAGAGCCTGATAAGAAAAGAAAATTCTTGGTACCTTATAGAAAGATAAAAATTGACTCAAGTAGTACATGTTGTATCAGAAAGGGCATCAAATTCAGATTTGAATTCAAAGTTGTGACTCTTCTAAAATACTTTCACATCGGCGAATAATAAGCAAGCATTTTGTCGAAAAACTTTCGATTCATTCATCATATACTAATTAGTTTAGTTTTTCTTCTAAAAAAATATATTAAATAACCTGTTTTATTTTCATTAGATACTTCATCCGATATGAAGATAATATCAAGCCAATGTCCTTTGCGTGTAATTCTAATACTATAGCCAACTGTCATTTTATGTTTTTCATCATACATAACATGAGCTGTCGGCATCGACAAGATTTCTGAATCAAGTACTGAAGCATAAGGTAAAGATATAAGCGGACCTAATGATTCAAGTGTATTCGGATCAAGAATATTGCCTACTGTTGTTTCTGTAAGCGCTAATAATTCATTGTGTACCATTTGAACTGTAACACTAGAATCATCACTATATGTTGTTGCATCACGGTTACGAAAAAGTAATTGAAATCGACCAAAAATTGATTTACATGTACTGTACCAAAGTGTCGCACAATTGTATGACCATTTTTTAGTGCTTCTTTATATGTACGTGATTTAATAAATGAAGCATGAAAACGAACTATTTGTGATGGTCCGTCAATATTATATTTTTGAATAAAACCAAAACCATCAAATGCATGTTTAAGCGATGTTGTCATATCATTATTTATTTCATTTGCTCCTGCACCATTACGATAAAGTGTACCTTTTAACCATTATGGAATTTTGCCTTGAAATTCGATAGTTTCTTCATTGTTAGTCTCTGTTGTAGAAGCAAATAGATTAAAATTATTCCATACTTGTTGATCGTTTTCAGTGACAGTTGACGTCATTATCTAGAATGAAAAATTTTTGCTATTTTATTTAAATTACTCTGTCAATAAAAAAAAGTTTATTTATTAATTAAAATAACATATATCATGCATTTGATAAAATATAAGTTTATTCTTATGTTTCATGTTCACATCGTTTGAATCCTCTTTTACCTTTGATAGTAACAAATAAAATTTTCAATACATTCTTTTGTGTAATAATACCATCAAGAAAATGCAATTTTATCTGTTGGATTAACAGTTTGTTCCATTGCTTTTTCAAATTTATCACGAGTTTTAACTTAACCAGCAAAATTAGTAAGAATGTTGAAAGAACTCAAGTCTCAACAAACACTCTAAAAGTCGCTCAGATGCATAAGTAAAAGAAAAGAAATTTGTATTTACATATAAAACAATTTGCAGAATTGTTTCTTTTCTAATGTTGTTTTGAATACTAGTTTACTTTAGATATAGGGTCCTCATCCTCACGGGGTGTTGTGTGTGCAAATCATATCTCTCTTATATTCAAAATAAACGAGTGTCCGACCAAGTTATATTCCCATCTAAAGCAAACCAAATAAGATAAGTCAAGATAAATAAATGCGTATCTATATATATATCTTTCGTTTTTCGTTCTTTCTTTCTTCTTATTCTATTTTAGTGCGAACCCTTATCAGAAAAACTGTAATCAAATAAATGAAACAATAGGTAACATTTGGCGATTGGTTAACTGGTTTTTTGGATGGAGCTACCTATAGCTTTAACATCAACAAATAGAGAAAATTATTCTCTATCGAACTGTCTTTTTGGTTTTTTTTAAAAAGAGGCATGTAATGACACAAGCGCCATCAAATAGATCGGTAAAAGAAGCCAACGACCGAGTCTTTTCTCCACTATTACTCCTCTTTCACATGTTGACTAATGATTAAGTTATTGTTGTTATTACTGCCGTCATTGTTTGTTATCATAATAATTGGAAACTCAAGATCAAAAGGAATACTTTTAGCACTGATGAGAATCGTGTTTAATAAAACAATCAAAAATTCTAGACTGATTACAAAATTATATAAAACTGCGGTATTGTTATTGCTTATGTATTATCATATGGCGCGTTTTTTTGTTTGCTAGAACGTTGTCTATCAGTCTAGATTTGATTAGCGAGTGATTGATTGCAAGTGCAGTGTGTTTAGATTGAGTTTGTAAACCTACACAAAGATGCAATATAGTTTTCATCGATCTAGGATACTGATTGTGGGAGACCAACGAAGGAAGATGTCATTAGCAAGGATATGAGATCGCTTGTCGTAATTGTAATACCAGAGATGCTCACTCTTGAAGATCAGATTGATCTGTTGCTTGGACAAGAGATGATCGGTCGATTGTTGAAGAATTCTTTGAAGCTTAGTGACTACACCCGTCTTCTGTTCGAAAATTATCTAAAGCAACAAACTCTAGCCGATGAGAAAAACGATAGAAGTTTCTGTCTTGAAGTTTCTATGACGTCCCTGAAGTCTCATACAATCCATTGAAGTATCACGAAGGCTTATGAAGTCAAGTGCATTCTGTAGAACCCAAGTAGACAAATAAGCAGTTAAGATAATGTTTTAACGCGTCATCCTGTGTTTAAGGTGTTCTCGAACATTAAAATTTGCTTATCATCAAATTTTCCGTGGGTTAACTGGTTTGTCATAATGTTGTTCTAGCATTTTTATTTAAAACGTGTTTCAATGCTTCGTTTATTGCTTGCAATCTTATGAAACTTTTTTTTAATGAAGAATTTCCATTTGTTGACGATCAATTCCATGTGTGAACTACAAGTCATCTCTAAAACTATATAGAGAAGTTTTACAGGTTTATATTGCATTCTTAGTTCACGGGTGTGAATATGAGTGTGGTCTGTGAGTAAAAAAAAGAAGCTACATCCACACCCACATTCATATCCCACATGAAAGAAATATTGTAGGCAAGGATGTTCTGATTTCTTGACAATAGATTCTTATTGGTATTCGTTTCAAGTCTGAATAGATTCGAATCAACCAGTCTCATGAAAACTACAGCAACGAGTGCACTGGAGATTGAAGCGAGAACCAAAATTAACTTGTTCACATCCATCATTTTCATCGAAGGAGTAAGTTCAAAGTCGCAAGCAGTTTCAAAGAGAATAGGATTGTTATTGACTAGCACAATCGCCGTATTTGGAAAGCAAGCATCAACAAGTAGTTGCTCAATTGGATAATCGAGATAATACATGTTTCGGAAGAAGCAGATTAAAGTAAAACAATAGATGTGACAAGGAACAACAATTCGCACAGCATTGTTTGGAAATTCTTCGAATTTAGCCGTTTTGAAAACACGTGCACTTCAATGTTAGCTCCCAAAAATGGTAGTGTTGTTTTTTAATGATACTGTTAACTCGTTTTAAAGGTAATTTTTTTCAAGTTACTGTTGTCTTTCATACATTAGTGTTGAAAAAAATACTATCTTATCATGTCTTACCTATGTCAGGTCTTGTCACATGTAAGTCACTCTCGATGAAAGCAAGATAGAACTTACCATTTTTACCAGTGCAAACAGTATATGAAGCACGCAACGTGTTTTGTACTTGAGGTTTCTCTAACAAATTTTCTTCGACACTTTTCCAGAGTTTCTTGAAAACTAGTGTACATATCTGGTCACTTAATTGAGTCTTTCATTTTGAGGAAAACATTAGAAGCACTAATGTAAGATTTAGAAAACTATGTAAGTTCAAAATATTTCGCGATAGAATCATTCCAAAGTTATAAGAATTTGACTTTGAGAGCGTAGATGATTTTCAAGAAGTTTTCAAAAATTCAGTTTCTCTTATTCTTGTTTTTTCGAAAGAGTTCGCTCTAGCGAGTAACCACAGACTACTTTTTTCAAGACGTGTAATACAAAGGCCTTTAGAAGCTCGTCAGGCAAATATGTGTCTGAATATATTGACTTGACACTTGTATTCGTTTATTTTAAAAGGATGCTGTCTGACGAAATAGTTTCCTTTACAAAAAAAATGCGTACAGACGGTTATAAACACACTTCCGAGTATCATCAAATGACTACCTTCTCAAATGTTTGAAAAATTGGAACGTACTAGAACTTTCGTTCAGAAGAAACGTTCTAAACCATCCTTCCATCTGTCGGACAGTATCAATAATTATTTAATAAGCCTCTTTAATTGAAGTAGCAACTGTCCTTTTTGGGATTATAAATATGACCAATTTGACTGTTGAACCTACGATCAGTTTCATATCTGCTAATTTTCGCTTGGCTTTGTCACGGTTGAAGCAACCAACCAATCAAATTGATTCAAGCTTAATTAATGCATCGTATAATGATATTTCTATATGTATTACCATTGGTATTGGTTAATACAATCAATAGTGCAAACTGGGATTATGGCAAGCATGGACCTGATGTTTGGAAAGAGATATCTTCAACATGCGCTGGAAACAACCAATCACCAATCAATATTCAAACAGCATGTACAACCCATCAAACTTTTGACCCATTCCACTTTACATCTATCCATTACCAACAAATCAAGTTCAAACTCACAAATAATGGGCATACAATAAACGCAGTACCGAATAGTCCAACAACAATATCATTAACGGGTGGAAATTTAAAAGGAACATATGTTTTTGAAAGCTTTCATATTCATTGGGGACCAAATCACAATAGCGGGAGCGAGCATCAGGTGTAAGTATGCGAATTGTAAGTACAGATGAACTCGTAGAAAATAACAGAAAGGGGCTTAGAATAATTCTAACGAATTAATGTCGTAATTTTGATCGACTAATTCCTAATTTTTCCTCGATCCACGTATATATCCCATTGACTATTAAAGTAGAATGTGAGTGTAGGTGGGGTATGAGTGTTTTGTTGCAAAGGCCAAACCCATCGTAACAGCCACACCAATCCCCACACTCTTGTATGGCTCATAGAATTCAACATTGAAAGGGAAAATCTGACATTTGAGATTTCGTTCTTTGTTATTCATCCCTCAAAGTCTTATTGATAAAATTCATTGCCGTAAATAGTTTTCGATATTTGAGAAAATCCTATATTACAATATACTTTGATAAAATTTCCGAATGAGAAAGAATAGCTATTGATATAAAACACTATCGCATATTGAGAAATGTATCTATTTAGGAATGGTGATAAATCTGAATATGTATTCATCAATTATGCATACACTTCATCGTTTACATATTTCTGAGGTGTCAACGGTCTAAATAATAAAAGAACATTCGAGCTGGTGAGAGTCATTTTGTTTACAGTCGTATTGAAACAGGACAGCGTGCCGTGTTGAGTTTTTTGATGGAGACTCAGAAAAATATAAGTCATACAATGCACCGGAGAAACAATTTGAGAAGCGTTATAATGGAACAACAATGGCGAAATTACTTTGATGCTGCACATCGACTAATAACGGAAAATAGTTCGACCACGATTGATCTAACTTTGAGTTTACTCATGGGAAGCAATTTAACTGAATTTTGGCGATATGACGGATCGTTGACCACGCCACCATGTGATGAAAATGTTATTTGGTCCATATTCAGACAACCTATTATGATTTTGGATTATGATTTTGAAACTTTTCGTGATGGTTTATTTTTTCAAAGTTATCGTGGTCCACAGCCACTGTATTATCGACAAGTCTATCGAAGTTTTGCTGAGGAAAATCTGTCACCAATACCCGACCAAAATTGTTGTTCAAACAGAAAATCCGAAGCAGCATTGTTCTTTAATATCTTTGACAAAACAGCCATCTTTGCACTCCTTTCTAGTTATCTAGCTTTTTATCGATTATTGTACTTGTACTAATTCATACTGATTTCTTTGTGACCACTAATCTTACGACAAAAAGTTCTACTTCTTTCGTTGCGTTACAAACATCACTTTTCTTTTTTTTCAGCTCTCGTTTCAACGCAATTTAATTTTTTCTTCTATTCTTGTGACGCAATTGTGTATGACTAATGCTGTTTCGCTGCACAATGACGCCAGTTATTTGCTTGATAATTCATGTTGAGTATCTAAATAAAGACTTGAACGCAATCGACTTTCTACTTCCTTCATTGCGTTATAAGCACCACTTTTCTTCTTTCCATCTTTCGTTTCAACGCAATTTAATTTTTTCTTCTATTCTTGCGACGCAATTATGTGTGACAACCTTTTTTTCGCAGACATTCTAAGGAAGTAGTGAGTCTGGCTGATTAGTATAAATAAATGAAGAGTATGCTGTGTTAACATCAATCATTTATGGAGTTTTGCTACACACTATTCCTCTGTTTACTTAGTTTCGCATGCAGCGGCGCACGCGAACGCGTTATGCTGCCAGATGCTGATCGACAATACATTGCAGAAATGTTGATCGAGGAAAATCCTGACTACACTTCAGTGGAGACGGATAAGCTCATCTACGAACTCGAAAACTTCTATACTGTCGTACGTGATAATCTTTTTGCATGTGGTCCTCCTAAAAAAATCGATGCCGTCTACCATCTTCATGTGCTTAACACTCGACTTTACCGTGCTTTCTGTCATGCGACTTTTGGTCGATTTGTCGATCATGTTCCCTTCTGGTCTGGCAATGTAAGCTTATTTCTTTTTCAAAGAGCTACTTTTACAACTGAGTTAAATGCTAGAAGTATCTTTTTCTCAGATTCAAATTTACAAATTTTACTTATTTATTGCTAGCCTACAAGCAACGAGCACCAAAACGAGTGTAGTGATCAGCTGAGTCTGCTTCAGGCACATGGTATCAACGTCACCAGTCCGTGTCTCTGGCGAACCAAGCTGGCGAAGTGTCGCACTAGTTGTTTTACTGGTTCTGAGAATTCAGCGATGACTCAGGATGATTTTGTAACTGGAGCATTGCACCACAATTCTATTCATTCTTTAGCATACACTCCGCTATGATCTCTGTACACTTTTAATTCTTTTTTTGAGAGACAGAGAAAGCTTTGCGAATATCTTTTTTTTGAAAACAAAATAAAGTATCAAGTATTCAGCTCATGATCCGTCTACTTGCATATCTGTCAATGAAACTGTTTGTCATGCCAGCTCCTTTGATTAACTATATTTGGGTAAAAGTTATCGCTCTCAACGAGAAACTACCAAGTTAAATGTATGAGCTTCTGATGGCTAGCCTAGATCGAGCTATTCAAATGTTAAGACATGGACAATTTAAGTATATAAGAACCAGTCTACAGAAGCTGCTCAATTGAAGTAATTGTTTCGCTTTCAAGATATTTCAAATTTTTCTTTTAGGGTACTATCACCAAAATAGCACATTTTTTTGTGGCATTCTCCAATCAGGCAGACATGTCGCTTTTTCTACAAAATCGGTCTTGAAAATATTGTGCCCTATTCTCTATGTGGTTTGTTCTCTTTGTACAGCTTCTTGGCATCAAAATTTTTTAATGTTCAAAAATGGCTAACTTTTTGCCATAAAATTGAGAAAATTTAACGCTATGTAAATGCGCACATTTTGTATGTAAAATGTCTTACTTTACTATTTTGCTCTAGTTGCATAGAGATGCACTCTAGTCAGTATATTTTCTGTTTAGCTTTCCACGAAACTACTTTATGCATTCAATTATGCAAAGGAAAGAATGTTCAGAATTTTAACTCTTCATAATAAATATGAGAAATTACAATAGGGATTATTTAGTATAATGTTGTTTAGAGTTCTTTCAAAGAATATTCTTACTTGTACAATACTTTAAATTTTCTGCTGAAACGTTTCTTGTGATTGAGTTTGTGGATATTACAAGAAGTATTATGGATTTGTCAATCAGATAAAAGTACATAGAACATTTTAAGTATTGCAGGTGTTGGTGTGGGTGTGCATGGAGAGGATCTGTGCCCATACATATCCACACGCACACAAACCCACACTCATACCCTCGTATATCCAATGAATAATAATTGAAGTGAATAGACCACAACTTAGTATTAACTTCGATTGAACCATCGGAAATTCAGCTAAGTGTTATGCATATATAACTGTGAGTATTTTTTTCATATGATCTAAATATTACTCTTTTCGACTATGAAACAATCAATATGAGAACATATTGTCATACTAGGTTATCACGTTAGCGAAGTCCAGAGTTTACTAATTTTTCTTGTTGTTTTCATTTTAATTATCTCGAATGTTAAAAAAAAACAAAGTTCACAAAAATCGTCTTTATGCAAGGATCATATTAATTAAACAAAACTTCATAATAAGGATCTGAAAATAAATGATATCGATCTGCTCTTGAAATTCTATTCTCGTGTTGAAACGAATAGTTTTTCACGTTACGTTCTTGAGATCATCGCGACACAAAGTAGTCTCTGAATGCCATTGTTGAGATAGTAAAGTATGGACGTTGGATGCATACACGAAGGACTACATCAATGCTGCACTTTGCACTGCATTAAAAGTCCGAAAGAGTTTGTTGAAACTGATATATCTCCTTCTGAGTCTCTAGAATCATGACACTTTCCGAAAAGAAATCATGCAACTCCATCCAATTCTGAAAATAACTCTTGTTAAGTATCAGCAAACTGTTTATAAATATTATATCCGAATCTGTTATATATGACCATAAGATTTCTGCTCTGGTCTTCTTAGAGAATAGATATATAATATAAATCGGCATGAAAAAACAGCATATTTGGTAAAAACGTTTTGTTGAATGGGTTTTACGAGAGTTGTGTATGCCGGTGTATGAATTGGGCTGGAATAATTGGAATGGTGATGATCCATTTGTCAATTTTAACTATGTAGAGATGGAGTCAGATCTAAATAGCTCTTTCTATTTTCTAGCATCAAACTACGATATTTGTTGTTTATTTTAAAGAACAATAAAAGAAAGTGTAGAAAAATGATCTTTAGTTCGCTAAGAAGCATAACTGTTCTTTCAGAGATCGACGGATAATCTCAAATCATCGGCGGATACTGATCAATTTACGTAGACATCGAAAACAAGGAGTTCCCTTTACAAATCGAAACATGTTGTAGATCCACACATTATGATGACACCATGGGCAAGTGTAAAATATGATAGCTAAGCGTGACTGAGGTACCAGTGTTGTACGATGTTCTATAATATTTGCTTTGGCTAGGTAATCTTTTGCACGCTCTATATCATTTACCTGCTCACATATAACAGCCATATTTTCGTAGGTAACTGCGAGGTCTGAATGATCAAAAGGTAAAGATTTACTTTCGATATCTAATGCTTTCTGACAGCTGTCTAGAGCTTGATCATATTCATGCAGATCAAAGTAAATGGCAGCTAATGCTTTATAAGTGAATGCTAAGTCGTAATGAATTTCTGGCAGACACCTCTTTCGGAGAGCTAATGCGTCTTTATGACACTGACATGCTTGTTCATAGTTCTTTTTCGTTCGATACAAGTGACCCATATTTGTGTACAATTTTGCTAGTATAGTAGTGTAGAGCACGTTTATATTGTTTTTGCTCTTGAAAACAGTTACCGATTGCTGCGTAAATTGCTGCTACAGTTTTGGAATCTGGTTCTTTCATTAGAAGGACATAATTTAAGGCGGTATTAAATTCTTCAAATGCTACATCAAATCGATCATGATTCTCAGCAATATAGCCTAGATAGAAGTGACATTTGGCTATATCGATAACATTCATCGGACCAGAGTTGGCAGCTATTGAGATATCATGAAGCGCTCGTTTCGCAAATTTTTCAACCAAATCAATTTTATCCATATCATGTAGAATATCCACAAATGTGACAAGGCTAATGCCACTATCGACTGCAATTGCCCTTTCTGCCTTTAAATGATCCATTAAGATTTGCATATCATCTTCAATATTGCCGGATAGCTGAAGTGAGACAATATATATGTTGTTTTCTTCACAGACGGCTAAGAGACGATATATAGAACCAGCCATAAATAGAATTTCTTCTTCATCGTTGCTAAACTCACTAAACTGTGTAATATTTCGAATCGGATTGATTCGACGGGGATAAACTTGCACCTTCAATGTAAAATGCAGCTTTTTGTCGATCAAGACTAGTAGAAAGAAAAGACTTCATTGATATTAGATCACCGATTGAATTTTTTAATATGTCTATTTCATCAGATGCTATCAATTGTCCACGATAAACTTTCACAAGTGACTGGCATTGATTGTTGGTAAGTTCACGATGAATATCACGCATGAAAAATCGAAGAAGAAAAAGT